AGAAACGCACCGTTTCATGCTAGAGATCAGTTCCTCCTTCATCACAGGTGCCAGTACATTGTACGTAAGCGAAGCTGTTTTGCTGCGTTTGCAGTAAAACCCTTGCGCAATGGCACTATCGGGAATCGCATGCTTGATCACATCGATAATATGGTCCATTGCTCTCATTGATATGTTGTGTTCAGCAATCGCTGCAGCGAACATAATTTCTGCCTTTTTGTTAGGCTGCAAACATAGTGCGCGCTGAGACGAAGATTAAGATGAAGATGAAGCTAAAGACGAATCGTTTGCGTTGCTAGCAAACTAATAGGTTGCATAGTGCAAGACGAATTTGTTGCGATTTTGTGATGTTAGTCGCAATGGATTTCTCATCAGATGGTGAGCTGCTGTTGGAGCAAAGTGTATTTTTTAGATTAAAATATAGCAAAAAAGTAACTGAAAGAATTCACCCAATTAATTTGGGTAGAAAGGCGTTCGGCGAATTTCATCATTTATTTAATGAGCTGCGGAAAGATGAAAAAAAATTTGTGGAGTACACCAGAATGAAAATCAGCACGTTTGATTACATTCTGTTAAAAATTGAACCGCTAATTATTAAAAATTGGACAAATTTTAACAAAACCCCAATTATATCTGTGTGAATTCTAACATGCGCTGCGCCAAGCAAGGGTAGAAAGAGAGAGAAATAATAACAAAGGCAAAATAGCAAGCGATTCGTCTTCAAAAACAGTACTGCACCGTTTGAAGCTGATTGCTTGCGTATCGTCTTCGTTTTCGTCTTTGCGCGCACTATGTTTACGGACAAGCGAATTCATATAAATTGTTTTGCACTGTTTTTCGTCTTCAGCTTCATCTTTATCTTAATCTTCGTCTCAGCGCGCACTATGTTTGCAGCCTAACAGTTGGAATAAGATTCTTTTCATTCATCTCTTCATTCACCTTCTGCCAGACTTTTTGATGTCCATCTGCACGAAATATGTTGAATTTTGATTCGTCGCTAAAGATTACGTTTTCCCAAAAAGATTACGTTTTCCCAGCAATCTGGTTCATCTTTTAGCGTCTGGCAAAGTCTAATCGTTTTTTCTTATTTATGTCCGAAATGTACATTTATAAAATTAAGAATTATTTAAGTTTGTTCAGATTCGCGAACTGGCCCCACGGTGCCAATACTTGCGGAGAGTTTGGGCAAAGGGAGGAATTGCTGCTGTTGGCGGGAGAGAGACAAATTCAGCGGTGTAATTTCCGTTTCTTAACCTATACTTAAACTGAAGTGGAGCCGAATAGTCATATTGCCTCCTTTAGAACACATCGCACCAAAGAAATTCTAAACTATGTCTTGGTTAAAACGACTGGTTCAGGTATATTTGATATCGTATTTTTCCGATAAATATGCATACAAGCTGTCAAGGGATGCATTATTGAATATTCGTGCGCAAAAGCTCAAAATGCCAAAACACCAAAATGCCTTGATATCGAATTCATTACCATAGGGCTTAGTCGTTTCAATAGAACTTTATGTAGACATTTTTGAGTTGAATACGTCGAACCAGTCATTAAGAAGCTTAAGAAGAACAGCGGCTCCGCATGCGTTATCAACGTCGTAACCTAATGCATAGCATCTTCAAATAGCACTGGCGGTTGAACTGGAGAAGAGTTGTGTTGCCAATTTGACCTTTTGTTTGGCGAGTGATCCAATGTTAATGTGATTATCGGTAATCTTGAATAATATCGACACATCTGACTTAGAACAGTGGCCATTTGTTTGCTGGACTGTTGCCTTAGTAAATGCCTTTTTGTTGATCACTAACTTGGAGCCAACATAGTGGATGCGAACCAACTTTATCAGGTGAGGTGTGGCTGTTTTTTTTAAGGCCACGAACCATCGACAGTTGAACATAGTTGTTCGTATCGTATACAACATTCGCTGTGCTGTCATACTCGAAAGCTTCGCCATCTTCATTTCATCGAAGGACAAAACGCATAGCTTATCGACTTCTGTCATCTCTTCATTTTCCATGAGGTCTATGACGATGTCAAGAGTACCTGTATTAATTTTAACGTCTGCCAACCATCTTTATAATGTTGCCCGACTAGGCAAAGGGAATCCCTTTCTATATAGATGGTTGTACGCGCGAGGTCCTGCAGCATGAAAACAGATGTCAGTTGTCACGTCTGTTGGAATAAACAAGGCCCTCTTTCCTCCATTCTTTAATATTTGAAGTTGGGTCTCCGTAAAATGTTACCAAGAGATTTTTCTAGTTCCTTGTATTTATCAAGTTGCTGTCGTAAATGATTAATTTCCTTTTCCATTAAACGAATCTTTTCCCGCTGTTTCTCGTTCTCCAAAAATAGTGCACTACCTATAACTTTGTCCCTGAATTTCAAATAATTTCTTTTTAGCATTGCCCTTTTTATTTTGACATATTTAGCTTACTCTGTTGCGTGGTTGACTCTGAGAAGCCTAATTTTAAAATTTTTGGCTCGGGCTCGTTCTCTTTTTGAGGAACAGCATCATTTAACAGTCGTCTTCTCTTGTTAACATCTCCTTTTATTAATGCCGTCTTCCAGTCCGAAGGTTTAAAATGTGTTTCGCAAAGCTTGGACTTTTCGCCAAGTTTGTAGCCAAGGCTTTCCTCCCACAATGTCCTCTTCGTTAAACATTTTGGTGCATTTGGTGCTTCCGACAGAAATTGCAGAACGACATGTTACACAAGGGTTAATAATAAAAAAAAAATCGTCCGCACACAACCTTTTCCTTTGACAAACGAGAACGCACTGACAAAAAGCCGAACGATTAGGTAGCCGACGAGACTTCCTTGTATAATTGGGTACAATTATACGTACGAGTGACGCTTGCGCAGTGAGACTTATTAAAAGACCGATTGACTGAAAAAGTCACCGAAAAAACTCTTCTCAATTATTTGTGTTCATTTCGTTGCATAGTGGTACGTTGTGTACTATTTAAGCATTACATTTTCAGGAAAAAATGTAACAAAAATAATTATGTTGTGGCAAATTTATTGTTTCTAATAAATTTCGTCATTTAGACGAGGACAATGTTAATTATCAAATTTAAGAACATGTATCTAAAAGCAGCTATATCATAAAGAACACAGGACACAAACTGTAATTATACTCCGTCTTACATGTTTCAGTTCAAACAGGCGAAAAACAATTTTTTTTTAATTTTGCTTTGCCAACCATTTTTGGTGATTTGTTAAAATGCAATTTACTCGCGGATCCATATAAATTGCAGATAATAAAGCTTCGTTCTCTAGCAACTTACTTTCACGAAGTTTAATTTGTGGCAATAATTTTTTTTTATAATATTTTGGCTGTTGTTGCACTGCAATTTGAGCTCCATCCAAATAATGAAAAATTCACTATAAACTAAATGTTTGTCCTGCAACTTTAAAGTCGCATTATATGCGTCCTTGAACGCGTCGACATACGTCTCCATCCAGTCCCATTCTATGTCGGAATTAATGCTAAACTGAGTGGCCAGAAACTTTTTTACATAGGTCAAGTAGTTTTTTACCATTAAGTACGTTGAATTCCACCTAGTGACAACGTCGACCGATGGTATGTTTTTGTTGTGCTCGATTAAGACGCGTCTGTGCAGGTTACATATTTATTTTATACATGAATATAAGAAAATATATTTATACAGGCAGGCTCCGGTTTTCACTTTCACAAGATTCTCTCGTTTTCGTTTTCAAAAACGAAAATGGGTGCTCCCGTTTTCACTTTCACAAGATTTTTTCGTTTTCAAAAACGGGCAAGTTTTTTTTTGTCGAAATGAAAAGTAAATGCCTTTTTCTACATCAAAACGGTTCTTAATTGCAAAAGGAAAAAAATAGTTAATTCCTTGGTCTATTGATGTTCATTTCACACCATCAGTAGATCAGTCTAATTCGTATTTATTTTTTAAATAATTTTTTTCTGACCCCATCATGATTTCATAAATGAAATATTTGCCGTCGGCAACAACAAATTTCGTTTTGCTAAGGGGCCGATAAATCTATTTCCAAAAGTTATCGTCAATGCTGCCGTACTTGTAGTGGAACGAAACAACCACTTAAAAATACTTATAAAATGAAAACGAAGGAAAAAATATTTGTAAAGAATAGTTAAATAAGCTTCTTATAAATAAATATGTTTAATTTTCTTTCTTAAATGGTAAAAGTGCAGTAAAAAAGTTGTTAAGAATAGTGGAATGATAACTGCAAAAAAGGTGGCAGCCCCTTATTATGGAAAACAGCTGATTTCTGATGGCGGCTTATTTGAAATTTTTGAAAATGTAAGTAAGACAACTTAATTTACCGATCGTCAGACATATTAAAAACACATGTGTTGCATCTTAGATGTCTCGATTTTCTTAAATAAATCAATTTCTGCCTTCTTTTGGCTTCAAAACAGGCAATTGAAAATATAAAAGTAATTTTTTTCGCGTTGTTTACTTTTGACCAAAAAAAGTCAGCTGTTTGAACAATTCCGATAACGAAACGATGACAAAAAGTTTGTGAAAACCGGAGCACCTAAAACGAAAACGTTGTTGCAGTTGGAGTCGATTCCAGGAGGAGCTATCGATAGATTAGATCAAATAGCGATGGTTAGGGCAGCGCCACCTTTTGGGCCTTGGGCAGATCATGTAAAATGTAAACATGTAACCTGGGCTTAGGATTTCTCTTAGATGGCCTTGGGGATGTCCGTTGACCCATCTTCGAGAGAGCCTGGGAAAGATGGTAGGGCACATGGCGTGATATTACGGATCAGAGTTTAGTGGTATCGGAAAAGACAAGCGTGGTGGACGGGGATTTGTACTCGTAGTGGCATTGTGAAACTCTTGTGAGAAGTGAGTTAGTTTTTTTTGTAATTTTCTTTAGTAAAAATAAAATGTTTATTTTTGTTTAGGGAACCCGGGGTCCCATAATAAAGGGCCCCGGGATTCTTTTTTTTGGCAAGGAATACATTTTTTGAGGAAGTCACATTTTTTTTCGACGGTTATTTTTCGCCGAAGGAAATACAATTTTTTGTGGAGCAAATATATACTTATAACATATGGAAATATAAATATTCTGGAGAGGCCACAGTTTTTCGATCAACACAAAATTATAACATTTTTTGGAGGGACACAACTACGAAGTTCCCTGAGGAGAACGTGCGTTTGGAGGAACCTTTTGAAGAACCACACCATCAACGACCAAATCCTCGCTACCTGCTAGAGATCTCCGGTGAGTCCGTTCCGTGTTGGGGTGCTCCCAAATTAGTGGCCAGTTTTCCTCGCGAGCGGCTGGTACCACGAGGTTGGCCAGCAAAGTCCCTATACGCCTCCGAGTTCCTGGTGGTGCGATTTTCTGGTGGGCCGAGCCCAAACCCACCACTTCCTGAAATTGAGGAAAATCAATTAAAATAATGTGTAGCTTTTAAGAATTTAAATACCTTATATTGTTAAGTCTATTGTGCGTCCTTCCAAAGATTCACCCTTGATCGACGGTTGCTAAAATAAAAGGGTCGCAATTAATTAGGATGAAGGAATCAAGTGTGTAAATCTCCCATACCTTTCGGCGTCCCTTCTTTTCCCTTGGAGCTCCTCAGGATTAGGTGACCTTAATTTAAGCCGCGTAACCCAGAGAGTTCTGCCGATACAAGGGCGGCAGAACATTTTTGTCGGAGAGTGTCTATTCCTTGTTCTTAAATTTAGCTTTGACCGCTAAATATACTGATACGGCGGTTGATTGGCGATTCTGAGGTTAGATGAACAAATAGATTTTGAGGAAATGAATTAGATGCGAAATGTCAATTGTACTCACCTGAATAATTAAAGCCATTATAACGATGATGAATTGCTAGACCTTTTTCTGTGGGGGAGATGGAATTAATTTAGTTGCCTGGAGTGACTTACTGACCCATTATGGGCGATGTTTTAATAAATACTTACGAAACATCCTAGGTAGGGTGGGTACGCAATGGCCAGGACACCAAAGGCCACTCAAAGGTCCAAAAATTTCCGCCGCCTGAGTTAATGTTTGAATTTAAATTTTTGTTTGTTTACATTTTGTTAGTGATCGCAGAAAGTTAGTGTTGTGAGACGACCGTTATCGATGTTAGTATTTTATGTTGTCGGACTGCGGGCAATTGGGGAGAACTTGGCCCAAATGAGATCGCTGAGCTAGCGGCACTGCCCACTCAATAGCAGTTCGTAACATAATGGCGCCCAATTTAAAAAAAAAATATATATACCTGGTCGAGGCGACGACGTCTCGCGAGGAGCGGACTTAGTTGGTCAGCCCTTCAGAACGGTGGCTTGCAAGGAAGTTGCAATTGCATCGTGATGGGGGAATGGCGAACTAAGGAGAAGCTGAGGAAGTGGGAGGCTATTCCAGAGTGCTGGTCAATTGCTCCCTGGTCGCACAATTAAATTTTGAAAATGGTTGAGGCGACGAGCTGGCCTAGTTTCCGGTCACTCTGAACGGTGGCTTGTAGACGTATGCAATTGCATCGGGAAGGGTGACTCGGGAACTAGAGATTAGCTAAGGATGGTGGGAGGCTTGTCCAGTAACATGCTGGCCAATAAATAGTCTCGTTTTCTTTGTAGTTTTTTTTGTAACATTAATTTATTTATTAATATTTTTTTTTGTTGTCTGTAAATTGTGTACGGATTCCTGGGTTTTTCTTCCGTCTGTGGGTTTCCAATTTCCTGTCGGTTTTAACAACTTAATTGGTACTCGTGGCCCGTTGAAAGTACACGCGATGCACGAGTCCCTCGATTTGCGATGGAAACTGCAGATGAGGAAGAAAACCAACAGCAGTCCAGGAGCGGCTGGAGTCCTTAACTGGCAGCTATCACTTAAAGTGATAGCTAGACCAGTTGACGAGCGGCTGCGAGAGGGGCGGAAATTTCGAGGGTTTTGGCGATGCGTAGGCGTACTATGGTCGGAAGTCCACCGGCGACTTTGATTTCATCTCCCCACAGTAGGAGCTGAAAGATTGAAAGAATATAGTTATATGGTGGCTCGAAAAGTTTAATAGTGGGGGAGATGGAAGTAAATTAGTTGCCTGGAGTGACTTACTGACCCATTATGGGCGATGTTTTAATAAATACTTACGAAACATCCTAGGTAGGGTGGGTACGCAATGGCCAGGACACCAAAGGCCACTCAAAGGTCCAAAAATTTCCGCCGCCTGAGTTAATGTTTGAATTTAAATTTTTGTTTGTTTACGTTTTGTTAGTGATCGCAGAAAGTTAGTGTTGTGAGACGACCGTTATCGATGTTAGTATTTTATGTTGTCGGACTGCGGGCAATTGGGGAGAACTTGGCCCAAATGAGATCGCTGAGCTAGCGGCACTGCCCACTCAATAGCAGTTCGTAACAACGTACGTTTTCGCCCAAAAACGAAAACGAGAAAAAAGGTGAAAACCGGAGCCTGCCTGTATATTTATATTTGTACTTTAGTTACCTATAAGTTTCAGTGCGCAATGTTTTGCATAATTTGCGGCAGATACCAATATATTCGCTAATATCGCTCAGCTTATTTACATCATAGACACACAGCTGAAGTGTGTGCGCATCACACCAGCTTACCCATCAAATTTTCCCCTTATGTGTCATCTTCAATTAGGGACTCCTCCGTGTCGTCATTTAGACTTTCTACGGCTTTCATCATGTTTCTCCCATTATCAGAGGTAACACTGTGCGTATACATATTATTTTTTTAATAACAAACATATTAAAAACTAACTGAAAATACGTTTTTACCTGAAGATTTGATAAAAAATTATACCATAATCGTCAAGAATTTCCAAAAAATTTTCTTTAATGTATACCCCAGTGTGTGCATGGCTGAGCTGAATAATCCCTAACGTCTTCACAACGACCTCAATTTTATTAATATTCGTGTGAATAAATTGGAGATTTACATCTAGAACAGCCATATCCATTCTAGTCGCCATTAATAATTGGATCAATAATTTCTTTAAATCCCTCGCTGTCCAAGAATAGAAATGGCTTTCCGTCAGTTGTAACAATTTTCACAAGCAAATTAACAATTGTTACTTCACTTATTTCAAACGTAATTTTTCTTTTCTTAACCACTTTCGTTTCAGACTTTCTCACTTTCTGCGATGGTCATCGAGTTATTTTCATTGACGCTACCAAATATCAGTGAGTTGGTGCGATTCGATAGTGGAGAAGTTTTAAAGATCCTGCACATCAAAAATCTGTGTATACTGCGAAAAACAGCTGTAAATTTTATGGCAAGCTATTATTTTTGGCCCGCAGATTCAAATGCATTACGATGTTTTTGCACTTGCTTGTATTGTTATGGCTGATTGGCGAAATCCAAATTTCGATTAAAGTCTGAGTATTTGTTTTAAATGCAAATTATTTGAAAATGCTTGCGCAAAATATACCTAAGGAAAGAAGCACAACTGCCTTCGTGGAATAACTGCAAGCTGTGTATTAGGGATGTGAAAAATATATCAAAATATCAATATATCGATATTTTTTGATTAAAAATAAATATTTATATCTGATATTTTATTCTACAGAAATATGCAGTGACTGCACTAAATAAGTAAAATGAAACATGAAATTTATAATTGGTTTGTTTTTCATTGTCTAATTTAATAAAAAACTCTCTGCAATTGGCTTTGGGATGGTGCCTCCAGCTTTGTTTTGGGCCCGACTGCTGCTGCTGTGGCAAGAAGTTATGACTGCCAATATCCTCCACTGCAATGCACTCCATTTCAGAATCGCTGCCGTTGAAGCTGATTACCGTTGTTGTTGTCGTGGAAGTCACAGTCATTATGCGTCGCTTTTCTTTAGGACTTTCTTGTAATCGTCTTCCATTTAACTGCAGCTGTGGCGAGAGCGGAGGAGGTGTGGTATTGGCGCTTATCTTTCGTGGCGGCAGCTCTGGCGGCTGTTTTTTTGGGTCCACCTCGCTGTTTTTGAGCATTTCCCCCAGGGGCGGACGCAGTTTGGGGGGGTCCGATCAAAAATTTGTTTAGTTTACATGGTTGAAAGACCGTGTGCTGTAAGGGAATTTGAAAAAGTCTGGGTTTTTGGGAGGGGTCCGGACCCCCGGACACCCCCTGCGTCCGCCCTTGGCAAAAAGAAAAAAATAGTTGACTCCTTGGTCTATTGATGTTCATTTCACATCATCAGTAGGTCATTCTAATTCGTATTTATTTTTTAAATAATTATTTTCTGACCCCACCTTGATTTTATACATAAAATATTTGCCGTCGGCAACAACAAATTTCGTTTTGCTAAGGGGCCGATAAATCTATTTCCAAAAGTTATCGTCAATGCTGCCGTACTTGTAGTGGAACAAAAAAAAACACTTTAAAATACTTATAAAATGAAAACGAAGAAAAAAATATTTGTGAAGAAAAGTTAAATAAGCTTTTTATAAATAAATATGATTAATTTAGTTTCTTAAATGGCAAAAGTGCAGTAAAAAAGTTGTTAAGAATAGTGGAATGAAAACTGCAAAAAAGGTGGCAGCCCCTTATTATGGAAAACAGCTGATTTCTGATGGTGGCTTATTTGAAATTTTTGAAAATGTAAGTAAGACAACTTAATTTACCGATCGTCAGACATATTAAAAACACATGTGTTGCATCTAAGATGTCTCGATTTTCTTAAATAAATCAATTGCTGCCTTCTTTTGGCTTCAAAACAGGCAATTGAAAATATAAAAGTAATTTTTTCGCGTTATTTACTTTTGACCAAAAAAAGTCAGCTGTTTGAACAATTCCGATAACGAAACGATGACAAAAAGTTTGTGAAAACCGGAGCACCTAAAACGAAAACGTACGTTTTCGCCCAAAAACGAAAACGAGAAAAAAAGTGAAAACCGGAGCCTGCCTGTATATTTATATTTGTACTTTAGTTACCTATAAGTTTCAGTGCGCAATGTTTTGCATAATTTGCGGCAGATACCAATATATTCGCTAATATCGCTCAGCTTATTTACATCATAGACACACAGTTGAAGTGTGTGCGCAGCACACCGCACAAGATGAATATTCGCCAATTCTAGGTCATCCAGCTTACCCATAAAATGTTCACCTTTCGTGTCATCTTCAAATAGGGACTCCTCCGTGTCGTCATTTAGACTTTCTACGGCTTTGATCATGTTTCTCCCATTATCAGAGGTAACACTGTGCGTATACATTAAAAACTAACTGAATATTTTTTACCTGAAGATTTGATCAAGAGTTATACCATAATCGTCAAGAATTTTCAAAAAATTTTCTTTAATGTATACCCCAGTGTGTGCATGGCTGAGCTGAATAATCCCTAACGTCTTCACAACGACCTCAATTTTATTAATATTCGTGTGAATAATTTGGAGATTTACACCTAGAACAGCCATATCCATTCTAGTCACCATTAATAATTGGATCAATAATTTCTTTAAATCCCTCGCTGTCCAAGAATAGAAATGGCTTTCCGTCAGTTGTAACAATTTTCACAAGCAAATTAACAATTGTTACTTCACTTATTTCAAACGTAATTTTTCTTTTCTTAACCACTTTCGTTTCGGTGTCTTCTTCGCTGTCGCACTCTCTGAATATTTCACCGTGTTTTGCAGTCAAAAGGCGTTTCAGATTTGTGGAGTGAGTGCCGGCTAATTTAACTCCGCACACTTTGCACACCGATTTATTATTTCTGGCTTTCGTCTGGGCAAAATCATCAATTATATCGTTGTAATCAATTTCTTGAACTAGTTGGGCTTCAATTGACAGTAGTGCTAAAGCAATGAGTCTCTCTTGGGCCATACTTGCGCGTAAATACGTTTTGACTCTTTTTAAGGTGGAAAAAGATATTTCTCCTGAAGAGTTCGTGACAGGAATTATCAAAAATACGTAGAGCAATATCTACATTTGGATAAGCATCTTGAAGATTTTGAGAATCAAAAAATTGTATATTCCTTGCGCAAACGAATATCTTTTGTGTTCATTAGAGAATCTTTGAGTTGACAATGCAAATGAATACATTCCTTCGCGAAAGTCTCCTCCAAATCATCAGAATACTTTTTTTTATTTTTAGTTCATTGGTAACTATTTCATTTAAATAGTCAAAAAAATTTAATTTTTCGTAAAGATTATGATAAGCACTTTTACGTCCTGTCAATTGTACACTTAAAGTATCTAAAATTGGATAGTAAACGTTAGTTCGAACACTTTCTTCTCCAGATAAAACTATTCTTTCTTTTCGCCGTGACTCGTCAGCCTAAAGTTTTCGCTTTTTTTGCGACGGGTTCATAGTTGTAATAATTTTGAACTCCAGATAGTGTTTTGGCTTTTTCATAATCAGAAAATTGTTTATCTCTCATATCTTGGAGAAATAATTCCAAAGAACTATATATTCTTATCACAGATGATAAGTCAGCTTCAGAATCCTGAAGCTCCTTACTCGCAAGCTTCAGAATCCTGAAGCTCCTTACTCGCAGCATTGAAGCGATCCGAAATTGCATTTCAAACAATGACAAGAATTGCTGTTTCTAGATGTTGCAATTTTTGCTGCAGTCTCTTAGCTTCAGCTCGCTTAGTAAGTTTTTCCCCAATAAAGTTAAGGGCAACAATTATTCCAGGCCACCGTTTTTCTAATGTGTAGCATGCCTCACTTCGAGCCGACCACAGGGTTGCCAGATGAGCTGGTCGAAAAATCCGTAAAATGGTTTAAAAGCCGAAAAAAATCCGTAAAAATGCGTATTACCATAAGTGCGCGTGAGAGTGAAAGAGAGACATATAGATACTTATGCCTTGGTCGCAGAGTATGCATACATACATATGTATGTACATATATGCTTTTGGCGCCCAATTTCAATATGTGAAATAATGGAAACAAATTAATAATACTGTGGTAAAAGTTCTCCATTACCCAGTTAAAAGAGTAAATATAATTGTTTACTAATATATAAATTAAAACGGTAGTTTCATTTTATTGACATTTGTTATTTACACTACTATTTACATTTAAATTATTCGTACATAAGTTGGCTCATTAAAGAAAGCATGGGCTTGCACTTCACCTTCAACACCTTCTCATCCCGAACTACGGATTTTTTATTGGTTTTTTTTTCCGTTGAACAAACTGAAAATTCGTTCGCAATTTGCAGAAGCGTGCGGAAACACATTCACTTTTTCCACGATGTCTGCGATAAGTGGAAATTCCGATTCTCCATCCGCGGTCTGAGATTTCTTCACCAACTTCCAGAAGTCTTCGGTTTCCTTGTCCATCTTTTTTCGAAAAATACGTATATGATTGGTAAAAATCCGGAATATACTTGGATGACCTAAAAATTCCGCATAAAAAGCCGTATCATTTTTTTCGGCTCGAAAAATCCGTAATTTGCTGAAAAATCCGTACATCTGGCATCCCTGGCGCCGACACACTGGAGCTGGGGATATCTGACGAGGCAATGGACGCCCTGATGGCCGAACTCCCACCCGAGGTTGAGAGCATGGTCCTGGATTGGCTGCCAAATGGAGGCGATCCAGCTGCTCCATTAGCGCAGGACGCGGGCGAAATCCGACTAGTCCCCCCGGAGGGAGAAGCCCCACCAACATCGCGGAAATCATCCAAACCCGAGCGCTACAGGCCAGGTCCCGGCAGCGGTACCGTCTCCAACGCCCAGAGGGAAGCTACCGGGTCACCAGCCGAACAAACGGCTCCATCTCCATCCTTTTCGACCCCCCGAAGTGGGAAGGGGGTGTGACGTCTCATTCAAAGAGGCGCACATATTTACCTTTTTCTTTAGCCTTTCTTTTTTATATTGGTCTTAGTTTTATTTCATTAGTCATGTAAGAGAAATGCCAATGAAGTATTGTGTTATTATAGTTCTAGGTAATCATTATATAAATAAGATTGAAATTTAAGCTTGAACAATGTTGCCATTTACTTCGCGCCCTGACCAACGTTGCCATTTACGGCACTACCGATCTATACGCTGACGGTCGACACGTTGCCAGATCGCAAGACCTTGCCAGATCGCGACGCTGTTAGGGTTGTCGAAATTTTAAAAAATATCGTATCGATGATATTTTTTTTATCAAATAATATGATAATAATATTTCTAAATATCACCGAAAAATATCGATATATTTGATATTTTTGATATTTTTTGTGTTAAATAAAAAAATTTCCTGCCCACAATAAAAAGACAATAAGTTTCGGTAATTGTTTACAAGTGCGGTCCGGACTTCGAAATCCGTTGGCGGAAAGTTAAAATTTTGCACCGTTTTTTTGTTATTAACAATCCTTACTTCAGCATTCTTGAAATTCTCCGTTATTTTCATAATACCTTCAAAGTTCGTGGACAGCTAAGAATGAAAACTAATTAATATATGTGTGAACAACGTGTGTGCGCGTTTGGCGCCAAATTTCGGTGGTATGTGCGTAAGTTACATATGCACACATAGACAACGAAATCTGGCCATACGCACACATATCACATATGTACATTCCTTCTTTTGCGCGCATTTTGCGAAAATATTATTTTGCGCTTGAATTTGTTCACTTGAAGTCGCTTTGGAACTTAAAGTAACCAAGACAAAAATATCAAAAAATATCAAAAAAATATATCGATTTTCCGATATTTAGGCAAACAAAAAATTACGATATAAATATATCATTTTAAAAAGAAAATATCGATATATTGATATTTTGATATATTATCAACAACCCTAGACGCTGTCAAAATCGCCACGTTGACAGCCTGGACAGAGGATCGAGATCGCAACTAATAAGATATCGGTGCAGCAGCAGGGAAACAAGTCAGGACAAGTAACAATAAAGTGAATTCTTATATATTGATCGTTTAAATCCAGTGCATTTCTTAATTTCGTAGTGTTCCTAGAAACTAACACTAATTCTAACCTTCCCGATCTCTGCCAGTAGTTAGTGATCCCTCAGGCGTGGCCACGACATTTCCTGGTTAATCCAGAGAACGTCAGCGTACCCCTGGTGGATTTATATCCCGTTCCCGTGCCCTTAACTAGTATTCCTGTGCCCTCCCGGACACGCACACGCGATCCCTACTCTTACGTACCAAGCACTAGTTCCGGTACAGCCAGGTGCCTCCCTTCTCCTCTAGCTAACGCAGAGCCCGCCAGAGGGTGCGCAGCGTGTCCAAAACCGGAGTACAATTGATCCAAAACCCGCGCTCGACAATTTCATTTATAAATAAGTTCCCCTGTAAATTACAAATTTCTTGTGAGGATCTCTATCCCGGCCTGAGAAGCACACACCAAATTGGAAAATTTTTTAATTTTCTATTTTTTGACCTTCTTATTGGCACCAATAAGAAAGCAATATCGTTTTTGGAGGAGATCGGATTGATACCTTCAAGAAATTCACAACCGCCTTCGTGTTGTGATATGTATTTCAATGGTCGTTGAGGAGAAAGCAAGTACCAAATTAGGGTGGATTTGGCGTTGTGCATTTTTTTGACGGATTCAATTGCCATTTAGAAATTCGAGATGTTATGGCCATTATTTATTGTTTTGTGGAAAAAATTAAGGTAACAGACGTTTTTCAACATTTACTGCCGTGGCGTGCTCACAACAACGAGCCAGAAATAAGTTTCCCTTCCGTGATCGATTACTTCAGCTATTGTCGAGAAATAACTGAAGTAATTGCTTCGCACTCATTGGCTCCACTTGGTGGGACTGGAAAAACAGTGCAAATTGACGAAACATTTTTAACAAAACGTAAATACAACCGCGGTCGTTGTACGGAGCAAATGACCATTGTCGTACTTGGATTATATTGCAAAGAGGACAAAGAAGGGCTTTTTTTTTAAGTAAACGCCAAAAGTAAAGAAGAATTGTGGCCTTATATTAAAAAATTTGTAGACGAGAATACAAGCCGCATATGCACAGACGGCGGAAAACAATATGTTGGCGTAAATAAGATTTTTTCGACTAATACTGTGCATTTGACTACGAATCATAGTATCGGAGAATACTTCAATGCTGAGAATCCAAGTAATACTATAAATATGTATGGCACTTTTTTATTATCGACGGAAACATTTTACAAAAATGATTTAGGGTCCCAAATTATGCAATTTTTGATTGATATTAAAAACGTTTACCCTGGATTTGTTGATGGAATCGAAGTCGAACCTCTTCAACTCAAAGAAATTGATCCACCATCTGTAGATTCTGAAAACTTAAGAGATTTTGTTCCATCAAAAAAAAACCCTCGATTGTCTAAAATTGAAGACGAAATATGCTTTGCAAATCAAGTCATGATGAAATTGATGATAAAATTGTATTTTAACAAAATTACTGGATATTTGGTGTTTTGCCGGCTCAAGGTCTGGGTTGATATTAAAAACACAATATATGTTTTTTAACCAATATATTTCGGCTGCTCCTCGGCAACCGTCTTCAGGGCAAAAACAAAAAACAATCAACATCAAAATACACTTTTTTTTACAATTTAAATATTGACATACTTTTTGACACGTCTGCGCCAATTGACGTGGAGTTAAAAACTAAACCTATTTCCCTAATAAATGTCTGTATATAACATATGTGCGCAGTTTTTTGAGTCCGTTTTGTAATTCATTCTAATGTTTGTCGGTGTGTTGATTATATGTAACATTTCCATCATGTAGCGCTTCCTGTAGTGTTGCCTTTGCGCCAAGATAGTTGTCTCTTCAAAGTTCGGAGAGTGTCCCTGTTTGGCACAGTGGGACATGAGTGCTGTTTTTTGTGTATTCGTCTGGTGCCTTAATTTAAAATCAGATTTATGTTGTGACAGCCGACGACGGCACTACCACCACGGATATATGGATTACCGAAAATTCATAAGACCGCCAAAAATGCAACAATCTCACCTTTAATAACTTCACAAAATATTAACCGGTCAGATATTAGCAGATACATAAAATCTGTCTTCTCTAACAGCTATCTCAACCTTCTACTCTTCCAGTTGGTACAAAACTATAAACAAAAACAGCGTCAACATCAGCGATTACACAAAAAAAAACAGACATAAGCAAACTGCCAAAAAAAGAACAGACCAAAATCATCCGACTACGCCTAGGCCACACTCGGCTTACTCATAAATACAGACTTCTGCAAGCTGTAACTACCCTGCAGTTCCAAAATAGCTTTTTCCTATATGAAATCCGCGAGGAAGCACCGAGGAACCGGGGTACGGAGGTATGCCCGCACCGAGGAATTGCGCGATGAATTTTGTATGGGATTCAAGTTTTCTTCATAGGTGAAGCTCTCGATGAACTTTTTGGCCGTTTCATCGAGCGATTCCTCGGTGCCTTATACGAATTTTGTATGGGAAAAAAACGTATAAGGCATAGAGGAATTCGTAGCGGAAGTGGAAGCGGGATTTTCCTCGAAAGCTTTTGCGAGGATGCCCTTTCGGAATTCGTCGGTGAATTTTTAAACAATTTCCTATATGAATTCCCCAATTCCTTTTTTTTGGAAAGTCATACCTATTTTCATAAGAGGAATGACTAAAAAACACATTTTTAATACAGTTTTTAAACATTTTTTTTAAATTATTAATATTATTTATATGACTATTATTATTATTATTATTTTACATTTTTATTATTGTTGTTATTATTATTATAAATATTATTATTTTACTATTATTATTATATTACATTTTTATTATTACATATTTTAATATTATTATTATATTAAATATTTATTATTATTTTATTATTATAATTTTACATTTTTATTAGTTAAATTAAAATTAATTTTACTATTTTTTTTGCAAATACTATTTTTTGCGTGTTGCATCGCCTTTCTAATTATCTTTTCGCCATCTTCAAGGGGAAATACCTCTTGTGAGACGTCTGAAAATATAAAAGATATTTATTAAAATTCCTGCTTCGAATAATTTACTAAAATAAATGAAAAATATTGTTCATTTGTTTACCTTTCAAAATTCCAAATAGGTTTGTCAAGTTTTTAAACCTTTTTTTGGAGTTAGTGCCGTCCAAATTAAAATTTGGCAGCAAGCCATCGTCAAATATTTTTCTAAACAGTTTTGTAAAGCCATCTTTTCTGGCAAAGTTTGTAATTTTTGCTTTCTGTAATAATAAAAAGTTAAGTTTAGTCTTGCAGTATAAAAAAACTTACGTAAAACTCCCGAAGCTCAGGTGTCTCTCGAAGAGCTCTATGTCGTCCTCCGTCTTAAGGGGGAAGGGAACCCCTGTCTCCACCGTCTTCTCTTCCGCCTTCAACTTCATCTTAACCACTGCGGTGGTCTCCGCCAGCTTCTCGGCCAAAAAATCTATCTTGCGGTGCAAAGCCGCATTTTGCTCCGCGAGATAGATGTTTTGTTCTGAAATGGTAAAAAAATTTATATAGAAAGGATTATATATATTAATATATATAGCAATTAATACCTTTTAATGCGGAAAGTATCCTTTCTTCGCACAAGATCATTCTTTCTTCACACGAATCTGTTAAAAAATTTAAATACAGTAGAATCCTGTTATAACGACTCCGCTTATAGTGTCCGTCCGGGTATTGCGACGAAAACTCGATGGCTTGATTGGTCCTCAGACAGACTTATACACTTAAATACTTCTGCTTAGTGCGTCTGCCGGGTATAACGACGAAAAATCGTCGGTCCCTTGAAAGTCGCTATAAGCGGATTCTACTGTAGTTAATCAAAAATTAAAAAAAAAAAATCATGAAACTCACGAGATACGGATGGCTGATCTGTGAATAGTAAAATAATATTTCAATATAAGTTTTGTATAATGGAATTTATACTCACCCGACTCGGAAAAGTCAATGCGCCGAATTTTTTTTGGTTGCTCTGACATTCTTAGGAAATAAAAAGAACATAATTAAAATCATTGTTTTATAAATTTATGCGTATGGGCCCAATTTAGAATTGGGCCCAGCTTACGATTGGGCCACTTTATTAACTGTACGCCGGCGCACATAAAAGGGATGTTTTTTTTTAAGCACAATTCAATTTCACTTTGTTTACTTTTAAAAAGCCCCGCAGCGCCTTATGGTTTTTTCAATAACTAAAAAAAAAGGTCTTAAACATAATTCAAACACTTACCTGGTTTTTTTTAAGCAAAAACACTTGGAAAATAAATCACTTTATTCACAATCAATCAAATCAACCGCTTCGGTGACGAACAACGAAAGAATGACGCAGGTCAGTTCTTTTTTTTCTTAATTTGCGTCGTCCCTTTTGTTTCATCTTAGACTTTTTGGCGCGTGCCTTGTTGGCATACCCTTTAGATTTAAAGTCATACCGGACTATATATGCAACGCGCATTAATAAAAGGGCAAGATTCGTAATATTAATATTAGAAATGTTTATTTAAACTATTTAGTCAAATTATAAAACCATTTAACAAATCTCTTTTTTTTTAAATAAAAAAAAACTAGTTAATATTGATTTATAATTTGTCTAATAAATTTAATTTAAATATTATTCCCAGACAATAGATGGTATATAAAATTGTATATAATTATACTTATTTTAAGTAAATTATGTTAAAAAACTTTAAAACCTAAAAGTATACATAAGTCGAGCATGCCTCAGCCGTGGTTCCCACCGAAAACACAAACTTGTGTTTCTAACGGTAAATGCATTCCGATGGCAACAATGGAATAAGAGAAACGAAAAAGTAGAAGACAAATTGGGTGTCGGGCCGCCGTCGTTGCCAAGCAACGAGAAATTACGAAACATTGGCATATATGATTTGAACATTGGCATATATGATTTCCCTAAGGGCGATCCTCGATTGTCTTATAAAAAGACAATCGAGTCGTCGGGCGACAAACTCGTCGTCTTGAATTTCTACGCTGATTGGTGCGACTCCTGCATGGAACTCGAGGGCACCGTGAAGGCGCTGGCCAGGAAGTACTCATCCAAGGCAGTGATAATCAAAATCGACGAGGACCACTTCGTAAATCTGGCGGAACGCTACAAGATCGACATTATCCCCACCTTCATCTTTCTCAAGAAAAAGCACCGCTTGGCCTCGTACTCCGGTACCAATAAGATAATGCTCACCAGGATGATGGCCAGATTGGTGAAGTCCTAAGTCATATATTGGAGCAGGCTCACATTTATGTAATCAATGTGAATACAACAAATAGCTATGGCTATATGGACTTTTCCGCAAAATCGAAAGTGTTTCACCTCTGCTACAAACTTTGCAAGGAAAAACTATCCAAAACATATTAATGGAATCAATAAAGAAACGCCTTTCCATTTATGAGCACAGGATATTATGTAGGATGGCAACGTTATTGGATCCACGTTAAAAAAAAAAAAAAAATGGTTTTCAACACGCATCAGTCTTTTTTGAAAACGAACTGGCAAATTCTTCAATCAAAGAGACCTCAAATAATCTGACCATTTCACCGGGCACAAGTGCCCAGGAAACATTATTTAATTTTTTTGGTGAGCGATCAAATAGCAAAGTCCTCATTAAAAGGCAATATCTGGAGAGGGCAATTGCCAGTCAAGATGTGGACCCACTGTTATGGATTAAGGTATAATTCGAAAACAAATTATAAGTTATCAATATTTACATATTTTCCTTTTATTCCAGGTGAAACCAACTTATTTTCCGTGCATAAAAGGCCTGTTTTGCAAATACCTTTGCATTCCTGCTACATCCGTAGAATCGGAAGGAGCGTTCAGCAAGGCAGTGCAAATTGTTTCTGAGAGACGCACCCGGCTCAAAGAGGAAAATATTAACATACTCTTATTTTTAAATAAAAACTTTTGGTTACAATAAAACAATTTTCTTGAAAACTTAAAAAAATTGTAATGTCGGAGGATAGTATCGGTGACTGTCGACACTATCGAGGGTTTGACAAAAACAATCGTCGGCTATCGATGGCGCCGACTATCGATAGTTCTCTACCTCTATTTCGTAGCATTTTTCTTAGATTTTATGGTATTATAAGGTATTTTCGGTTTGGTTAAAGAGCAATATAACTACTTTTCAAAAAGTTCCAAGCGTCGACGAAAATTTAAAAAGTTTAAAACTTTCTTAGATTTTCCTGCACATAATATACTTAACCACACAAACTAACCACGCATATTAGAACAGTGGGATGCCCTCATTGCATTCTTCTAAGAAGAATATGATTCATATTCATATTATATGAATATATTCTATCTAATTTAAAAAATCCAACTGTTAAACTTTATCTTTTATTTTTGGATTATATACTTGCTTTAGTGAATTCCAGTCTAGCTGATCTGTTGTACACTATTTCTGTAAAACTATGTCCGAATTTTATAAAACTCTATTGGCATATAACAAGCCAAGGAGATGTAGGGGAATGTTGTCAGGGTTGGACCGTCGTCAGGCTTGGGCCATCTCAATATTTTGAATATTCGTTTTAGTACCATCTGTTAGTGGGTGTCTAGAAACTTATATCGGTCACTCGAAACTTTCCACATGACTACTTATTTCGGGATTCCATTTTTCTACGTGTCGTTGTTCTGTGAAAAATAAGTGCTCGAAAAAGTTTTTTTAACCTGGCCGAAAAGGTGGAATAACACAAGATTACAACATGTCATCCGCAAAGTGAGCATAAAAATACGTTATATAGTTGTTCTATTACAAAATACTAAGATATAGTTTCATTGATAGATATAGTTTGGCTATATCATACCATAATAGATTAATACCGCATGTCGTCAGGGTTGGGCCACTTTTGTAGTCAGGCTAGGGCCATCAAAATTTGTACATTCGTGTATTTTCGATTTTTGTTGTAATATTTAAGTTTTTTGTAGCAAAAATATGCAAAATAAATTAAATAGATTTCCTTAAAAAAATATTTTGATGGATTGAAAGAAGATGAATCATTTTTATCTTTTTCTTTAGTGTTTCTCGCTACAAACGAAAAACAACTCTGAATAATTTGATATTTACTGTAAAATCCCAAATAATTAAATAAATGAACAAAATAATGTCGGATTAACCTGAATTCAATTTTATTCCACCACGTTACGATATTGTCAACGATTTTCTGAAGGTGGCCCAACCCTGACTACATGGCCCAACGCTGACTACCTTTTTTTTTTTTCAAACGCCTATAACTTTTTTTTTTTTTTTTTTTTATTCTCTATTTTTGGTGAACACTTTCTCTTGCTTGTACCTTTCCAAAAATGTATAAACTTATTCTAAATTGTCATTCGTTCAGAACTTGTGGACATAGGTCAAAATATGGCCCAACCCTGACAACACTCCCCTATATAAATAAAACAGATTTAAGGGGGGTAAGGTTTTAAAAATTTTTTTTTACATTTTTTTTTTATTTTTTTCTGAATGATCAATATGTTGAGAACATTGTGTAAAAATTTTGAGTCAATTAAAGTCAAACTAACGAAGTTACAGCGTTTTAAACAACCGTATTTGGACGTATTTTCACGTATAAAAATACTTTGAATCGATTTTGCCGAAGACGTTATTTTGAATGTCGGTGAACATCAGAACTCAAAATCTACTGAACCGATCCTTTTCAAATTTTTAACACAAATTCTCAATATAAATACGCAGGTAATCAGGAAGAGTTTTTTTTAATTTTTAATTTTTTTCTATTTTTAAAAAATAAATTAACAGCGATTTTTTAAGCTAAAATTGCACTTTTCACTTTCAAGTGCTCCCAAAAATAGACAAAAAATAAATTTAAAAAAATCTCTTCCTGATTACCTCGGGAAATTCATTATCTTTACAACGCATATCACATTTTATTTTTAAGATGATCCGTTAACGCCCTATGATGTTCACCGCAAAACAACTTTTTCTTACGGCGCTTCGGAAGATTAACCGCCACAGGCTTATTTCTTAATATTTTTTAATAATTTTTTTTTTCTAATACTCTTCAAAAGTTAAACAATAACATGTAATTAAGCTCAATAAAATAAACTTACTCATTTCGCCGCAAAAAAAGATCAAACATGGCCCTTTTTTTGGCCTTTAAAACCTTACCCCCCCTTAAATGCCATAGAGCCAACAAACGCATTTTATTTTTTACATATAAAAGACATGTATCTCGGAATAAAAGTGGCAACTGAACTTTCGACAAATAGCTTGGAAAAAGAACATAAATTGGCTTTTTTGAAACGTAGCTAGTTATTTTTAATCGAGTTATGCGTACAACTGAAAAAAAGATTGCCTCTACAAGATAACTTTCTGAAAATATAAAGTTTTTTGGATACAAATGATTTTAAAAATCAAAATTGTCAATCGTTGTTAAATGGGTGCAATAACTTTGAGCCCAATGAACAAATGTTATGTAAAGATCTCAACAAATTTAATTTAAGCAGCTCTGGCGAAGAAGGCTGGTAAATATATACAATATTCTGATCTAGGAACTTGTTACTCGATGACTGGACAAAGAAGTTCCTCTATTATTTTATTAATATTATTTATTGTTATATTATATTATTATTTTTATTACTTTAAAAAACAAACATTTTTTGGCAATGGGAAAAAACTTATTTATTCTATTTATAAGTCAATTATTATTTTTAAATATTATAATTTGAATTTCCAGGCTATTTATTTATGGTATTTATAGAGGTAGTTTGTAAAATATGAAATAGTATTTCTGTTTGGTCCGGCGCGGTCACGCTGTGCCCAATGGCAACTTGACGCCGAAAACGAGAATGTGGCAACTCTCACCAGGGCAGCTGAAGAACAGCCCCCAACGGCAGCGGAGGTCGAGCAAACGGTTTCGCGATTAAAGGAGTTTTGCTTCGCGCAAACTGAAGAATGCCTGGATTGCATTCAGTTGCTGGTGGATAGGCTGAAGGGAATGAGAGCGGACCTGAATGAGGTAAGGGATTTAGAAGATGTAGATTTACCGTACATTAATGTCTGGTTTTTATCCCCTTAGCAGAGATCCCAATCGAGCTCCACTCAGGAAAGCTCCCCTCAGGATCCCGATCAACAACCCGATACCAGTGTTGGGCATTAATCAATTAATTTGCCAATTTTCTTGTTAATTGACTAAAAAAGTAATTGCAATTAAATTAATTACAATTAAATTAATCGCAATTGAACTTTTAATTGTACCTTGCAATTGAAAAATTTGATTAATGTTTGTCAATTGCAACTTACAATTAAAATAATTGCAATTAAATATTTTAGTTGTTTTATAAAACAATAAAAACTAATAATTAACTTTATGTATCAAAATGAAATTAGTAAAGATTTAGAAAAAACGGATGCTCCTCCGATTCCCCAATGACTAAACCAGAACTTTTGATGTTGCATTTTTTGCCGAGGAAAGCCAAGTTGTACAACTTCTCAATAGATATCCTGAAATAAAAATTGTTTTTATTAAATACAACACACCTTTGCCATCGTCAGCTGCAGTGGAACGTCTTTTTTCTTTTGCGACAATGACAAATCTGCCAAAGAGTAACAAACTATCCGACAGTATGATCGAGAAGAGAGTGGTACTGAAGTGTAATTTAAATTGTTATTTTTAATTAAATTTAACAAAACAATTGAAAATGATTAAATTGTTAATTGTTACTAATACAGTTAACAATTAAATAATTGTTAATTGAAAATTTTTACAATTACAGTTGATTAATTGTTAGTTGTTGTGGTTACATTTACCAATTAATTAATTGTTAATTGCAATTAAAATTTGCCCAACACTGCCCGACACAAACGATTTACCAACACGTAGGGGTGCGGGTGCCGCTGCACCAAGTGCATATACACTCGGTGCGGATGTTTCGTAGGCAACATTGCTTGCGGCATGGGCTGCGTCTGCAGGGCAAACTGCGAAAACCCAAGTAACGCCAATCCTCTTTCGCAGGAGGGCGAAGGTGGCGCAATTGAGCAGTTTTCTTCAAGTGTATGTGTCTGACTTGTCTTTGAACAAAGGATTTTTTTTTTATTAAAAATTCAATTTTTTATGAAAAGTGTCGTTTTTTTTGCAAGGGTATATAAGCTTCGGCTTGCCGAACCTAGCTTCCTTTCTCGTTAACTTTTTAAAATCCATTTTTGATTTCGTCCTCGTACGAAAAGATTTTGCTCTTTTTTTTTGAACTATGTTATGTTTTTTTTTTTTTTTTTAATTTTCTGTCAGTGGCACGAAAGTTGATCCCCCACGTTTGAAGGAACAAACTGTTTGGCCATAGCAAATTTACCTATTATATAAATACATTACAGAGGAATCGGAGTGGTCCACTGGGGCTGAAGAGCCAGGAATGGCGATGTGCCACTGCTTTTACAGCCCCAGATGGTAATTAGTGTGCCCAGGTCAGCTGGTGG